ATAAATTCTGGAAGAAGAAAAAAGAACCTTAAAAAACATGGCTACTATCTTGGGTAAGAGAGTCTTTCTTTCCCTGGCTCACGGCCATGAGTGGCAAGTTGCTTTCTGTGACTTTTCCGTGCCGAAAATTTCTCCTGATGTTTTTTATTTTTTTAACCAGTTGGAAGAGAGAATTTATGAATCAAAGGAAAAGTGACTTTCAATGGAATTTTCACTAGAGGGTGCTGGCCTTCCACAACTTTAGGGAGAAGAATCTAAGCGGATTTTAAAGGTTTGTTTTTTTTAAATCCCGCCTTTATTCCTTTATAAACAAGGCGGCAAACATACCTAATACTACTTCCTCCTCTTTTCTTTCATACCAGTGTGAAGATGTTGTACACAAATAAAGGATGGGTGGACTTTCCATTATGATTGTGCCTACCGTCCCTGTCCTATTGTTTCTTTTATTTTTTCTTTTATTTTTCTTATATGCACCCATTTCATGTATTCATAACTATGTATACACTTATACTTATTATCTTGTAAACAATTGACAAATCAAATAAATAAATAAATAAATAATATCATGAGCCACCCAACTCCTGCCCAGCAATATTCTCACTGTCAGCCTTCCAAGTAATGCATCTTCCAAAAGCACAAGGCAGGTAGATTCCTCAAAGAGCAGGTAGATCCGAAGCAGGTAGATTCCTCAAAGAACATGTTTATTGGATACATCATATCAGGACAGCTAGTGAAAACCAACTCTGAAAGTTTTCCCGGGTTTATGACATAATTACAAGAGCAATTGTCCCATCCTTCCCCAAGTACCACAGGCCACACTGTCCAGTGAAGGTGAAAGGACATATTGACACAAATCAATCTAACCTTTGCTCTTGGCTTCTGTTAAAGAAGTTGCTTGTACTGTTTTGCTAAGGTTGGGAATCATTTGTTAGGAATTCATTCTGTAAAAGAATTGTATCCTTTTCTATCTGGTTCCTCGCTTCTGCCATTTGCTTCAGAGCTAAGCACAATCCTTGGAGACAGTTCTCAGGAATGTCCTGCTCCATAGATAAGTGGGTGGAGCTGCCTAGGAGCACGAACACACAAGGACAAGGGATACCCTGTAAGATAACCAAGCATGGACAGAGCATGGACAAAGAATGCTCCACGGATTAGTGTGGGGAGGGCGTGGGCAAGATATTGCCCACGTTGAAGAACAAACTTTTGTCTCTGATTGGCTAAGCAAGTGTATAAGATCCTAGACAAACTTTACCTAGGTGTGGCTATTCCTTACGTGCATTTTGTCTGTATTTTTTTGGATATAGTTTTGTCACCTTTACTCTGGCCATTAAAAAAAGCTGTTTCTTTTTGCAAGCCTCGTCTCGAGTCTCACTCTCTTTGGCATCTCAGTGGCTCGGGGAAACTTCTGGGACCTTACAAAGGCATTTGATCAAGGGTTCCTTGGTTACTCCTCTCCTCCTCCAACTGTCATGTGTTGACCTTGGTTCCCACAAGATGACCTTGGTTCTCACGAGAAAGCTTTTTGTTTTGACTGCTAGCCAGTCTACTTCCTCCTCTCAACCCCCCCCCCCCCCCCCAGTCCATGGCAACTATGAGGCAGCAAAAGATGGCTTCAGACAGGTTCGTTTCAGAGTTGACACTCACCATTGAAGGAGAGTGGTGTGGCCAAGCGCAACAAGGCAATGTCATTGCTGTTCTCTTCACTATTGGGGTCCACAAAGGGTCTGTATCCACCATGGTACACAATGCTGGCTATGTCCATCTGCAGGCCCCTTATGGATAGCTGAGATACGGCACCCATGAAGACCTGCCAGCGGTACAAGACACGATTCCTCCTGCAAGGCAGACCCAAAAGGAGAAGGTTGGACAGCAGGTGGGATCAGTGGGACTTTGGATTTATCCCCTTTGGACTTTTGATCAAGTTAATTAAGGATCTAGCAGCTGCATTCACATCACAAGCTATACTTGATTCATTGGAACCTTGGTTAGGGTTGTTCCAAAAGTACTTTTTCAGTAGGTAACTGGACTTTCTTGTTTTTTCTTTTGAAGACATTTCGCTTCTTATCCAAGAAGCTTCTTCAGCTCTGATAGGATAGTGGGGAATGGTTCACAGCTAAAGAGGCTTCTTGGATGAGAAACAAAACATCTTCAAAAGAAAAAACAAAGTCCAGTTGCCTCCTGAAAAAGCACCTTTGGGACAACCATGACCTGGATGATGACTGAGAATCTCTACAGACTTGGTCAAGGTTGATATTTTTTGATATGGCTTGTTAAATCCAGAAAATGGCTTCAATGACCAAGCAGAGCACATGTGTAAACTCTGCCCAGATATATTATTTCATTTGCTTCAAAAGGCAAAAACAACATCCCTGGGGTGTTTGGGGACTCTCTTTTTCAATAGCACGTTGGGCCCATGGACTGTGGTTGAAGGTCAGATATCATGGCTAGATTTGCATATTGCCCAAAATGTCCATTTATTTCATCAAAACCTAACTCAATTGTCTGAGTTCACACAGTCTGCTAAGCTTGAACTACCCAACTGTATTTTGACTTAGGACCCCCGCCTAAGATCATAATCTTAACAAGCCGAAGAATCTTCAGGGTCTTAGAGACCAATATAAATGCTTTTTGAATAAAGTCTACAATTAGCAATAAATCAGGGTACATTTCAGAGGGCTTTCCGTTCCTTGAATTCCCCAGCTGGCTGTCATGCCCCCATTGGAGTCTGAATCTGAGGAGGAAGACGAACAGAGAGTGGGAGTGTGGCTCCATTGGTTGTGGAGGAAACTGGGGAAGGGCAAAGTCCAGCTGGGCAGAGCAGGGGAGAGGTAGAACAAGAGAGAGGGAATTCAGAGGAAGACCCAGGCCCACTCCCTGTTCATCCTAGGGCACGCAGGGAAGAATGGAGAAGAGAACAATGTGGGTTGCATGGCTTACGAGGAAGGAAAGCCCCCCCCCCCGATTCCCTTCACAAGGCACACCTGGGGAGGAAGTTAAAGGAGAGGCAGAGGGGTTGGGTGGCCTGAGTTTATCTAGTGTGGCTGTTGTTATCTGTGTTCCTGGCATCCTCCCAACTGGTTTGATTTACTGCTGTGTTACTTCACTTCTGGAACTCCTTATCTTGCCCTGCCGGATTTATTACCTTATTTTGCCTTGTTGGATTTATAGTTTAAAGCCTTCTGTTTACAATGATTTGGACTGGAATATCTGCAGCCAAAGACTGTTGCAGGTTCCTGGGGGAGTTTTTCTCCAGACCAGAAAGTAACTGGGAGCAAAGTTGGAGCTAATAAAAGGACCCCTACTTATTATCTGGCTGTGTTGCCCTTGTGCCACGCCCCGGGTCATCACACTGGCATGGCTGTGGCTTAGAATTCTGGGGATTGAAAGCAAAACATCTGGAAGGCCCTTCTGAACTCATCAACAGTTGACATACTTCCCTAGTGAGCACTCAGAAACATCTGGTCAACTGTTAAGAACAATCAATATTACAAATGTGGATGTTATTCTATACACATATCTAGTCCGGGACTTACTCTGGAAAGCAGTGAGCTGCTGTAACTACCCATTCATTTGAGATGATGGAGCCGCCACAGAGATGTGTCCCATCGTAACGTAGGCTGACTTGCCAGGGCCATTTACCCACACTGGCGTCTTGGCCACCTACAATCCGGTCTACGGATAACTTCCTGCGTCCACAGTCTGCAAAGCATACAATAGTTTAATACCTGTTCTGATGCAACTTTGCATCCCACATAACTTCATGGTTAAGTTTACAATTTTTATTAGCTTATAATATAAAATACAAAAGCAAATACTAGGAAAGAAAAGGGAGGGAAAGGGGAAGAGAGAAGTATAGAAAAGAAGAGAAAAAAGAAAAAAAAAGGCATTGACTTCCAACTCCCTCTGATATAGTCAGAATAAGTCAGTAATATCAAATCTCAACTTTTTACTTTTCCATAATAATATAAAGTAGCCACTTCTGTAAGGACAATCTATCTAATCAGTAAAACCCAAAATCAAAGGTTCATTTTTTTTCTACCTCAAGCATAAAGTCCAGAAGTGGTTTCCAAGTAAAAACAGAAATACTTATGTTGTTTTCTTTGATCAAAACAGTCGATTTAGCCATCTCAGCTAATTCCATCAACTTTTGTGCATCCCACATAACTTCATGAATGAAATCTTATTCATGAGGAACAAGGATATTACAATAACCCAGCTGAGTGCTTGTGATGAAACCAACGAGCATCGGAGGAGAATTTAGATTTGAGCAAATCAGAAGACAGGAAAGCTGGACGTAGCATGTGAATAAGAGAAAGACCTGAGAAAGATTTGGAGAAAGGTTAAGATGAGAAAGAAAGATCTGAATTGGAAGAGGGCAGAGAAAGATGACTAAAGATACCCTTGAAATAGTTTGTGAGTTTCATACCTTGGCAAAGAGTTGCTAGGATCCGGCCTGTCAGACATTCACTGTGAGAAAGAGAAGAAAACTCAAGTATACAGAAGGAGAAGTAAAGAGGCATTATCAAGAAAAGTGTGAACTCCCAATTTTTGCAGCTTGAACTTTCGGTGGCATACAGAATAGCTCTAGTTTCTATTTCCTTGAATGATGACGGCACTGATTACATTCAGTTCTCAGGGATCTTTCATTATAGACTTCACCAATTGGTCTCATATGCAAAGATGAGACAATTTAGGAAAAGTAGCTAATGTATATCATGTTACTTCTAAGCAAATCCTGGACCAAGAAAAAAAAATATTCCTCTTTTCCCTCCTTAACTTTCCATTATTTTTTATTTTTCATTATATGTTTGTATTTCATGAGCCACAGTGGTGCAGTGGTTAGAGTGCAGTACTGCAGGCTACTTGTGCTGACTGCCAGCTGTCTGCAATTTGGCAGTTCAAATCTTACCGGGCTCAAGATTGATTCAGCCTTCCATCCTTCCAAGGTGGGTAAAATGAGGACCCAGATTGTTGGGGGCAAGAGGCTGACTCTGTCAACTGCTTAGAGAGGGCTGTAAAGCACTGTGAAATGGTATATAAGTCTTAGTGCTATTGCTATTCCTTCCTTCCATCCTTCCTTCCTTCCTTCCTTCCTTCCTTCCTTCCTTCCTTCCTTCCTTCCTTCCTTCCTTCCTTCCTTCCTTTCCTTCCTTCCTTCCTTCCTTCTTCCTTCCTTCCCTCCTTCCTTCCTTCCCTCCTTCCTTCCTTCTCATCCATCCATCCATCCATCCATAGCAGCCCAAGGTTGACTCAGCCTTCCATCCTTTCGAGGTGGGTAAAATGAGGACCCAGATTGTTGGGGGCAATAGGCTGACCACTAAGAGCGGGCTGTAAAGCACTGTGAAGTGGTATATAAGTCTAAGTGCTAGTGCTATTTTATATTTTGATAAATCAATACAATTTGTTACCTGGCAGGAGTTGCTATATTTAGACTGCTGACTTCCCGTCATTCTTACCCATTGGCCAGGATGGCTGGAAATAATAGATGTTACCATGTACATTCAAGGCTGGGAAGGCCTGTGGATTTAAGCGAAGGAAAAGTGGGAAGAAGGAAATGGTCCTTACCAGACAACAATGGCCTCTCTCAGCTTTTGCACAAAAGGCAGGCGGGACTCATCCACGCAGAAGTAGCCTGACGTTCCATTGGCACCTGCACTGCCTGCATTCAAGACCGAATGGGAGAGAGATCTGGAACAGAGACAAATCCAGAGGTGGGTATTCAGCAGGTTCTGACCAGTTCTGGAGAACTGGTAGCGGAAATTTTGAGTAGTTTAGAGAACCGGCAAGTATCACCTCTGACTGGCCCCGCCCCTATCTATTCTCCGCCTCCCATTGAGTCCCAGTTGATTGGCTGGGTCTTTTTTGGTTGCCCTGCACAGGAGAAGGGAGCTGGAAAGCAGGTCAGTGGGGGTGGGGAGGGCATGGGGATTTTACAGTATTCTTCCCCTGCCATGCCCACCAAGCCACACCACACCTACCAAGCCACGCCCACAGAACTGATAATAAAAATTTTTTGAATCCCACCACTGCTATAGACCTTGTCATCACAGCCACGTTTTGGGTGTACCTGACAAATCCCATCTCCTCGCAACTAAGAGCTGCCACCTGGGCATCAGAGGAAGAAGAACACAGTAGCCTCCACTTCCCTTCAGTCTCATCATACACAGTTAGGCGCAAATCCTCGGAATTCACCTGAACTGAACAGAACAAAAGGTAGTGTATAAGACAGGACTATCCCAGCTCATTTGTGCCCCCCCCCTCCCCAGGTATACTGGCTGATCCAGGAGTGGGATCCTATCTGTTCCACTACTGGTTTGGTGATCACACATGTGCGCACCTAACGTGCACGCGTAGCTTTCCACACATCAGCTGAGGCCTGCAGGACCAATCAGCTGGGAGGAGAAAGAAGAGAAA